GCAGCAACACCATGTGGAGCCTAGGGCCAGACGCTGCCACTTTGAAATGCTACATTCAGCCCAGAGCCAGCTGGGGTGTCTCCAGGCTCCTTGCGGCATTTCAAAGCAGCACCGCCGCACGGAGTCCAGGGTCAGTGGGGGAGTCCCCAGCTGGCCCCAGATTCCACACGGCGCTTTCGACCTGGGGCTGTTGCTACACTTTAAAGGTGGAGGCGCCCTCTCAACTACTTGAATAGTCAATGCACAATACATGGACTATTCGATTAGTCAGTTACAGGCAATTTAACATCCCTGCTGCGGGATGAGGGGCTTCGAGCCTCGCAGGCTGGATCCGGCTCGCGGGGGGAGGGGGAAGCAGCTCTGTGCACTGCCGTTTCCCCTCCCCCAGCTGAAGGAACAGCAGCGCAGGAAACTACTCACCTGGAGGCTTTCCCTGCTGCTCCCATTAGCCAGAATGGGAGCAGCAGGGGGGGTGATGCCTGGGAGCGGCAGGGGGTGCAGAGCTAGGTAAGCACCCCTCATTCCCAGACTCTGAACCCCCATTGCCCTCACACACATACCCTCCCATCCAGACCCAGCACCTCACTCTGCTCCTATACCCTCCTTCCTGCCCAGACCTCTCACCCCCACCAGCATCCCACCTCCTGCCCAGACCCACTACCATCAGCCCACTCCTGCACCCAACCTCGCAGTCAGATCCTCCATCCTCAGCCAGCTCCTGCACCATATATCCCAGCCAGACCACCACACCACTGGTGCACTCTGCTTCCTCAGACCACACACCCTCACCCTCATCCCACCAGACCCTGCACCTCCAACCCACTCCCTGGCAGCCGCCTCCCACACACTGAACCCTTCATTTTTGGCCCTATCACAGAGTCTAGGGGGCCCACAAAATCTACTAGCCCTGGGATCCCAGAAGAGTTATCTGGCCTGAGAAACTCTAAACCTCTGTCCTCCCTTTTCTTCTCTTCCCTTCCTCTCACAGGGCTGGAGCTTAAGGAGAGTAAGGTGTCTCAGTCATGGGCCATATCACTGAAGGTTGAGTTTTTTGGGGGAGGGTTCTAACTTTTGTGGGGCCCCCAACTGATTTTTCTATGGGTCAGAAAAAGGTTTCCCACCCCAGCCATAAAGACAGTGTTAAAACATTTTGTTTCAGATATAAATTAAAATGTTACTTTATTTAAAACTAACATGATAAACTGCTTAATCTCTTTAAAAAATTTGATTTGATTGATATTTCCTTTCTTACTGGTTATATGCACCACCTTATGTTACAGCTGCGTATTTACGTTTTTGTGCTCCAGGAGCCTAATATGAATAATTTAGTATTTAAGGTATTTAGAGATAAGCGAAGGCATTTTGTCATCATGGATGGTTGGCTGGTGGTCCGTGGAAAAATTTTCATTGAGTGGGGTGGGCCGCTGGCCAAAAAATTTGAGAACTACTGAGGTAGATCAGAGGGCATTTGGGTCTTGTCAACATCTGAAATGTGTACCAAATGTAACTACATACTAGTAATGTTAAAGTTGTACAATCCCTTTACAATACATGCAGTTACATTAACAGAGTTGCTTTAGACAAGAATAGCTAGTCCCATACAAAAAGGGAAATAACTCTGACAAGTATGCCATTGTTATACCTGTGCAACTATGTTCACTCTATGGCTTTTATTCTATAAATCAAACCTAAGTATAAACAGTTATACCTATGACACTTTCAAGTGTGGACCAGACTTGGGAACCTGTTCCTGACCTTGTGGGTGGAAGGGTCTAACTGTTGCAAATGTAGCCTCCCCACAGGAATTTTAGGGGCAAAGAAATTAGTTTTAAGAGCAAGATGGATAAATTCAAAGTGTGATTATATGATGGGGTTGCTTGTGACAGGAGAGGAGGAAGGATCCACAGCCCTCAGACTCACTTCTGGTTTCTTTGTTATTGTCCTATAGCTCATGCTTCAGGATTTCAGCTGACTGCTGGCAGGGTCAGGAAAAGATTCCCCCTCCCTCCCATGCTTTTTGGGAGAGATTTTTAAAGCTCTTTCCAAAGCACCAGGGATGGCCATGGCTATGATGGGATATTGGGAGGGGGAGCAGGGCTTTGCGGTGATACCAACATTCTCCCTCTCAAGTGCTGGATTGGCAGGTTCTTTCTCACATGCTCAGAGTCACTGATCATCATCCTGTAGGGTCACTTGTTCCCTGCACAAAATTCTCTGTTACACACACACAGGGGCTATATCTACATTGGCATAATCTTGCACAAATACTCTTTAATGCAATACCCTTTCATTTAGGCCCTCCCACCCTTTCCCAGTTCCTAGGGCTCTGGGTATAAGGCATTCAACTTTATCCCTTTGTGGGCTCCAAGCTCTCTCTCCCCATGGGGCCTAGGGTATAACATGCATTCCCTATGGACTCAGGATCTTCAGGGTTATGGCTCTTTTACAAGTGAAAGAGCCTTATGCAATAATATGTTTAATCTCTGTTTATGAACAGTCACCAAATTCTTGCGCAAGAAGCACTGATTTCACACATTAGAACGTCAGTGTTCTTGCGCAAGAACTCCCCACCAGTATAGACAGGCAGCATGTTTTTGCGCAAAAGCAGATGCTTTTGCACAAGATCACACCAATGTAGACACAGCCTGGGACACAACCACCTTCACCTTTCAATGGACTCAAGACATAAAACCCTTTCATTTAGGCCCTCCCACCCTTTCCCAGTTCCTAGGGCTCTGGGTATAAGGCATTCAACTTTATCCCTTTGTGGGCTCCAAGCTCTCTCTCCCCATGGGGCCTAGGGTATAACATGCATTCCCTATGGACTCAGGATCTTCAGGGTTATGGCTCTTTTACAAGTGAAAGAGCCTTATGCAATAATATGTTTAATCTCTGTTTATGAACAGTCACCAAAGCAGCATAAACACGCTTAGCATACAATGCGCACCACTCCCAATGAAACCGATGCACTTTTCTTGCTGGCCAGCCAGGATCAGATCATCTGGGGATTTCAGCTTCTGCATGGTGTGATTGACAGGGTGTGGAGGTCTGGGAGCTCTGGTGTTGGGGCTGTGTTCTGTAGCTGGTTCCAAAGAACTTCCTTTTGGACCTAAGTTTACATAGTGAAACTTGAGTCTCATTTAGCAAACCCAGGGCTATTCAACTTTGGAAGCCCCAGGGGCCACAATGATATGCACAGCAAATGCCGACGGTGGTTGCAGACATGCAAATAGCTTCTTTCATATTGATGGGAATGAATACAAAGATTAAGGCAAGACTACACAACACGCAGGCCCCATTTAAGTCAGTTCTGCTGATATTAATAAAATGCAACATTTACCCAATTTCCACCCATATGACAGAACTTTTAATGAGCAATGACAGTCCAGGAATTTAACTACTAAAACTCATCTCAACAGAAGACCATGATACTGACTACTTTTTTATTTTGGCTCCCACTCGTGGGCCACGTGTTGAGCACTGCAGAAATCCACGGGCCACATGTTGAGTAGCCCTGCCTTAACCAATCATTTTACTAAAGTATTAATTAAACAATTTTCTATCTAATTCTAACGCATTGTAAAACAATTCTTTAACCAATCATTCCCCACCACCACACAGAGCTGTCCTTAGGCATATGCAGCTGGATAGGGAACCATTAAATTTAGGGCATCTATCCTGCATACGCCACAGGATGGTATATTAAGCAGCCATGCTTCATTGGCTTTGGCAGTCCCATCAGTCCCATTCCCCAGCTGATTCTCCTCCCATCCCGCCTCCCCCTCCCCCGGTAAGCTCAGCGCTGGCTCCAGCACCCCTGCCCTCAGCTGGCCCTCCATCCCATGAGCTGTGGACCAGAGGACATTGGAGGAGCAGGGGCAGCCACACAGCCAACTGATGGAGAGAAGCAGCCATTTCCCCTTCAAAGCACCACATTTGTCTGGCTGGCAACAGAGCTGCCTGCCCTCTGTTCCTCTAGCTTGTGCTTGCACTGCCCATGCCTCCTACTTGCTACTCTGAGGCTGTAGGCGAGCCTCCCTCCCTGCCCTGCTCCAGGGTTGCCAATTCTCCCAGACGAGACACCAGTGCAGCAAATGGCATCCTGTTCAAGAGAGTTGGCAACCCTCTGCCTTCCACAGTGTGGCGCAATCAATCCCCACTTGAGGGGGTGGGTGCGGGTGCTGGTGCTGGGCTGCATAGGGCACCAGCACCGATAAGAATGACCCTGCCGCCATAGTTGATTTACACTTAGCAAAATTAGTTATATAACAGAAAGAAACAATTGAAGAACCAGGCAGAGACCATACAGATAGAGAAGTGGGAACCATAAAAACAAAACAATAAAGAAGTAGAGATTTCACAGCCACAACCACTGATAAGTGTTTTATTTCCAGAAAGAATGCTATCAACGTTTTCTTTAACTGACTTAAGATCTGTTTCTTTATTGGCTGATGGTGGATACACTGTTGGAGCAGGATCACTTCCTTAATGGCCTAATTACATTGCTTTACTGTAATTTAGCTGGAATGTGAGAACCTGACTTTCTACTTCTTGGCTCGTGGCTGTTCAAAAAAGGTCTCAGGCCGTTTTTCCGACAAAACTTGAGGCACACCCACACTGCAATTGCATTCGTCCGCAAGAAAATCAAAAGAACAGAGGGGTTTTTCTGGCATTTGTAATCCTCATTCTATGAGGAAGAAGCCTTTTTCTGAAAGAACTCTTTCACAAAAAGGTGCGTATGGACGGGAAAAAAGGGAGTTCTTTTGGAAGTAGAGGAAGGAGGAAAAAGTACAGGTACCCTGGTGGCCATTCTGGCCATTGCAATCACAGCTTACATGCGAGTCTGGGCACTATCTGTCGAAAAAGCAGATTGCTTTTTAATGCGCTTTTGCAGTGTGGATGCTCTTTCAGAAGAAGTTTTTGCAGAAGATCTCTTCTGAAAAAAGCTTCTTCCGAAAGAAGCCTGTAGTCTAGATGTAGTCAGAGTCAGCCCTTACAACATGGCTGCAGGAAAAGGTCTGGGCCTTACGCAGGAAGGAATTTCCACTCAGGTCACAATGGCCTTCCTCTACTGCATGTTTGCAGGTCTCTTGCCATGATTATCTAGGCATGTGTCACTTAATCATTTCCCTGCGTTGCAGCAGGAAATCGGACACTGGTCCCTCCTATTCTCTGCCTGTGCAAAGATAGTCCACTGTCTGTTTTGGTCTAATGTTGCTTGTTCCCTTTAGTGTGTAGCTCCTGGGTGTGTTGGTGGCCTGTGCTACCAAGGTCAGAAGATAATCTGGTGGCTGGGCCCTTACGATTCCAAGACTCACTGTCAGGACGCCTGCGACCTGTCTGTGTGGCGGGAGCGGAGCTGTGGCGAAGGGGGGCCGGTTTAGTCAGGCTGAGTGGTTTGGGTCTGTGGGTGAGGTTGCACCTGCCCAGGTTTTCACAGAATCACCCTTTTGGTAAGTGGCTGGGCTGGCAAGTGGGTGGGGGGGGCCCCCGGCTAGTGTTGCGGAATGGGAGCATCCCGCACGCCCTGCTGCTCGTGCCGCAGCGGCAGGCCTGTCCCAGGCGGGCTTCCCGCGCCCGGCGCTGTGCGGGAGGCGGTGCCGCGACCATGGCAGCTTGTCGCTCCCGCAGCAGCGCGCAGGGCGAGTGCTGGGCTCGCGCCTCTCCAGCGGCGCCGCGCGGCTGGCGACCGGGGCAACTCCCCCATGCG